AATCAGGATGGGTGTGTCAGAGGCAGTGCAGTTGGCGCAGGATAGAGCAGGGTTTCGGACTGTTGTACATAGGGTCACTATGAGTCCAAAACTACTCGACGGCACATAACAATAACAACAATTACCAATAAGGAAGAGGTCAGCACAAATGTATTAGGTGTAAAAAAGACAGTAGGAAGACTAGAATTATTATAAGCAACCAAGGTAGATTTAAGAACAATTTGGCTAAAAAAAAAAAGAAATTTCAAATCAACTCAGAACTGATTCATAGCTTCCAAAACTGTAAATTGCATGGGAGGAAATTTACCATCTTTAACTCAATACCCTGATGGTGGATTTTATCCACTGGATAAGGTCTGCCTTTCAGTTAAGCAGAACAACTCCGTACAGTGTACGTTGTCAGAACTCAAATTGAAATTTAGAGGTATCAGATTGATTTTGATATGAAGAAAATTTTAAGTTATAAGATAATTTTTGAATTTTCTATAAATATGTGAAGAGTTATACATTATGACAAGTAAAAATTTAATGTTAATATTTAAATAAAAAGTGTTAAGATTTAAATAAAAATGTTAATGTTAAGATTTAAATAAAAACTGTTTTATCATTGCAGTTTACAAGATGTTCTTTAAATGATATTGCCAATTAAGAACAGCACACAAGTGATCCAGTGGAAAGTGTATAAATAGTGAAATACAAAATTAAGTTCTGTATAAGAGAATGTATATTGTTTTACACACAATTTTCTAGAGAAATCCCTTTCTGTTTTTCCTGGAGGTGACAAGTTTAAAAACAAACAAATTGGAATCAGTTGAATTGTACCTGTTAAATTAAAAACATTGTCCTTTTTTATTCTGTAATTAAAGAAGTATAGAATTCATAACACCATACTGAAGAGTTTTAACTTGATACTTTATTCATCTGTGGAATATAATTTGATTTTAGGAGTTCCCGTGGTGTAAAGTTTTTTAGCAGTTGTAGCCTGGATGAATTTAACCATAGAGTTACACAGCCCGAATTTGAATGTCTTCAGGATAAAATAGTTTCACGAGTGTCTTTACAAGGAAGAACCTCATATTGTGGCAATGGAATTTTGGAACCACCAGAGCAATGTGATTGTGGCACGGCAGAGGTTAGTAACAAACAGTGGTAGCTTATAGAAAAAAATTGGTTGTATGTTTTTCATGTCATTTTATACTTGTCCATACAATATAAAAAGTGTTGACACTCTTGTTTCACTGTGATATGAGTGTAAGTTTATACATTTAATTGCTCTTCCATTCAATCGTTCATACGTTTGGTTTATGACATTAATTACAATGCTTAAAATGTAACCATACTTTCCTTACTTCCTCCCTTGATTTGAACTTCCTTTAAACCTTTTATCTTCCTCATTCCTGCCTCCTGAGATTTATTGCTGGGTTAATGTTACTCTTCAGATCTTGTGTGGTTGATTATTACAAAGAGAGAGTTTCCCTGGCCTTATTTTTCCCCTTTTTAGGCCTGTTTTGTTCTATCTTTGACAAGTGAGTAATCTTGTGAATTCCACCAGTCTTTATGGGAGTGGTCTTTTTTTATGTTTTTGAGTTTTGCTCCACATTTTTGAAACCCTTTCCCCCCCCGCCCCCCAAGACCTTCTACTGTGATTCCCTTTACAAAAATTTTCAGTGGTAACTGGGCACCATCTAATTATTCTAGTGTCCAGGTCATAGACTGCCAAAAGAACAAACAAAACTTTCTTGGAGGAAGTATTCAACAAGGATGCTCCTTAGAGCCAAGGATAGTGAAACTTTGTCTCACATATTTTGGTCATGTTTTCAGAGAAGGCACCACTCCTTGGAAAAAAGACATCAAGCATCTCTTTTCTTCCTCATTGCAACAATGTACTTAAGCATTGGAAAATGGAGACAGGATAGGGCAACATTTTAATTTGTTGTTCTGGGGTTGCTATTAGTCATGGTCAACTCAATGGAACCTAACAACAACTGTGGACTAATTATTTCTAGGCATCATTACTTTCCCTTTTCTTTGTTTTTCATAGGAAGAGAGCTATTGGAGAATCTTTTATGGCTTCTCACAAGGCTTTTAAGGTCCTGGTTGCTACTCAAAATAGCTTGATGTAGAACATTGTCTTTGTGGATTATGCTGTGCCGATTGATCTTAATGTCCCTTAAAGTCTGGTCTGGGAACCTAGGACCAGAAATATATTCCCTTAAGGTTATGGCTATTATGCTTGTGAGTTTATATAACTTTGATTTTATTCGTTTTATGGTTATGAGTTAACATAACCTTGCCCCTTGTTGTCTGTGCTGTATACATGCATCTATTTATGGCATGTAGTCACGTGAATTTTGAAATATCATCCCTCAAACTTTATACATAAATATAATAAAATAGTTCCTTTCACCTGTCCCTACATCTTCATGTTCTCTGTTGGTCTATTTATGTCGTTGTAGATTAATGTTATTATTGCTGATATTGTATTATGTATATAAGAAGTGCTTACTTTTAAACTATATTTCTTGTGAATCTCTTTCCTTTAAGTGATGGTATTATGATAATCATCTTTTTATTATATTTATTCCTTTTTCTTTTGCTCATCTATGTACTTAATTTTACACCCTCTCACCTTTTCTTGTCCCTTTCTTTCTATCCCTGGTAACCAGTCAAGATTATTTCTTTCTGTTTTTAAACCTGTCTTTAGCTTTTTTACAATAGTGGACACAAACAATATTTGTCCTTTTTTAACTGACATGTTTTACTCAGCATAATGTTCTCTAAATATATCCACATTATATGGTGTTTCATGGATTCTCTGTTATTTAAAGTTATATATACTCCATTCTTTGTATGTACTAAGGTCTGTTTATACAGTCATCCGCTGATACTCACTTTGGTTTTTTCCTTCTCTTTACTTGTAAATCATGTTGCAATAAATATGAGTATGCAGATAAATATCTGTTAGTGTCATAGATTTTATTTCTTTAAGTTACAAAGTAAGCCATGGGATTGCTGGTTCAAATCCTATTTCTGTTTCCAATTTTTTAGGGAAGCACCAAACTCTTCTTCAAAAGTTCTTAAATCATTTTACACTCTCACAAGCATTGTATAGGTGTTCAGTCTCTCCATATACTCAAGATTTCTTGTTTTATGGCTTACTTTCCTTTGCTATTGTTGGAGTGAGATGCTATCTCCTTGTTGCTATCCCATCAACTGCCAAAAGAACAAACAGATATGTCTTGGAAGAGGTGTAGCACGAGTGCTTCTTGGAGGCAAAGATGGCAAAGCTACTTCTTTCATATTTTCGACTAGGTGAGACTATTTCATATTTGGCTAGGTGATACTATTCCTTGGAAGGATGGAGGGTCGGTGAAGAGAGGAAGGACTCCAACAAGAAAAATTGACACAGTGACTTCAGCAGTGGGTTCTAGTGTATCAGAGATGATGATGATGTTTCAGAATATGGCCGGGCTTAGGTTGCTGTTCAGAGAGTCACTATGAGTCATACTCAACTTGATGGCACTTAACAGCAACAACAACAACAGTAGTTAATAATTATGAGCTTCATGACCATTTGAATGTCTTCTTTCGTAAAGTGTTTGGTATCTTCTGCCATTTTAATTGGATTGCTTTGTTGTTGCAGTGTTGGTCTTTATTAAAATTTAAAAGATATGTATGGACAAATATTTTCCCAATCTGAAGGTTCTATTTTTATTCTTTTGGAAAAGTCTTTTGATACACATGAAGTTATCAATCACTGATGATGTGAAAGGAGCATGTGATGCAATGTGAAGGTGGCAGTGACTGAGTCTGATTTCTCCCTTCTTCATAAGGAGGAACTGTCTACAAGAAACAAAAAGAGATCTTGAAAAGTGGAAGAATATCCCTTGCTCATGGATAGGAAGACTCAATGTTGTGAAAATGGTAATACTACCAAAAGCAATTTACACATTTAATGCAATCCCAATACAAATACCAGTCCCATTCTTCAACGAGATGGAAAAGGCAATCTCCAATT